ATCTACTGAAGACAGTTGGGCCCCAAACACTCAGACGCTGAATTTCTATTTTTCAGAAGTATGCCGACTGTCTCGTCCATCTCTACACTGAGGGAGGCACACACAGCAAGTGACCTGAAGTGGTTATCAATGGTTCCAACCAAGATTCCCTGACCCGGACCCTGGCTTGAACAAGCGATCAACACGACTCATATTCCCTACTGAGATTTGCCGACCATGTCGGCATTCGGTAAAAGAATTAAAGAAAAGGAGGTTGGTAGGAAAACAATTTAGACCTCTTCTTTCCATATTTATAGTGGTCATCACTGACCACTGAAATGATTCTTTTTTAAACGAACGTTCAAATGAACCATACGTCTTTTTGTCTCTCTCATATTTGATTCCTTACGGCTAAACACAAGTTATATTTCCAAGCATCTTTTTGCAAAATATACAAAACGCAGACGACACTATAACTATAAACCAACACTGCATTATGGATAAATTTTTGAATTATAAAAAACGCGCCTCAACAACAAACAGCGGCGTCGAAGAAGCAGGAGTATGTGGAAAAATGTTGAAGTTAGATTCTGCAACTTTTATTCATCTAAAAAAAGTGAAGAAGAATGATACCGCACCAGCTGACATATCCCAATCAGCTGGTAGGCCACCCTGAGGCGGTTTAATGGTTACCAAGCTTGTCTCGCTAGAACAATTACGAATGAGTAGTGAGTTAGATCCTCACTGGATGCCCCATACTTTCGGCCTTGTGCTACATCTAAGCAACGCTTGGAAAATCACTATCCTTATCCGTGGGTGGTACTCCAATTAAACCATGTTTACGAGAATATCCCAAGCACAGTGAAGGAAACAATTATGCTGTCATTTGTAAGTGTTTGTTTCGACAAATACCAATAAACCGAATATTCACAAGAACTCCACCTCTGCCATCGATGACAACGTCATTGCTTCAATTCAACAGCGACCAGATTCCCCAATTTTCTCTTGAGCCATGCTTAAAGAAAATCCAGGATTCTATCAAGCAATTGTCCCCTAACGAAGCCCATGAAAAAGATACTAAATCTTTAAATATGGTGGGAAGACGCTGGTTAAGAAACTCCTTGAGCTTTTTAAAGTCATATAGAGGGTTGGTTCTGTTCCACATGACTACAAAGATGCTTGCATAAGACATCTTTTCAAGAATAAATGCAAAAAGGTTGTATATGATAATTCCCGTGGCATTTCACTTCTAAGTGTCGCTGGCAAAATTCTTGCTCGTGTTTTTCTCAACAGAATAATACCTCATTGACGACATCTATCCTAAATCTCAGTGTGGCGTTTGTTCAAGTCGTCGAACCATTGATACGATTTTTTCACTTCGTCAGATTGTTGTGAAAGTTCGCGAGAAGAACCATGAATCGTCTTTATCGATCTGACTAAAGCGTTTGACACTGTAAACAGGAGTGCCCTCTGGAAAATACTTAAAAAGCTTGGCATACCTGAAAGTATGCTAAATATCATCATGTCGTTTCACAAAGGAATGAACGCATCTGTTCTATCTAATGGAGAGTTTTCAGAAGCCTTCGAAGTAACAAATGGCACAAAACAATTTTGTATCATGGCTCCTGTACTTTTCGCTATCTTCTTTTCAGTCATGCTACACCATGCTTTTTGTGATCTTGACATGGGTGTGAAATTTGAATTCCTCAAAACTGATGGCGTCTTTAACTATCAACCTTTTAAAGCAAAATCGCTGACACGAGCAAGCATTATTCGTGATCTTTTGGTTTGCTGATGATGTTACGATCGTTGCCACCTCAATCGAAGAAGCTCAAGCACTCATCAATCTTTTTTCCACTGCTTGCAACGCATTCGGATTAACTATAAGAATAAAGAAAACTGAAGTTGTCCATCAACCAAGGCCAACACCTAAGCAAACTCGTTTATTTGTCTATATATTGAAGTAAAGCATGTAAATCAACAAAATGGAAAATATGTCGACAATCTTCAAGGAAAGGTATGCCAGAACATCAATTAGTCTGCGTCGAAAAAGTTTTTGTCTGGAAAGACAAATGGATTTTCAATGAGATTTCAGGAATTATTGAAACCTTTCACGTGACAAGATAATGTGAGTATGAAATCAGTTCGGCATAACTTTCGTGGATTGCCGTTACAGGTTGAAGAATTCAATCTCCCTTATTTAAACTGGTATTCTCAAGCTGTCACCGATCTAAGCAGTATCCGGGCCCATTCCTGCTTAAATTTGATGATCTGTCGAGAACCTTGATATAGCTGTAAGCAATTTGTGGTTTTCTGACTGATTAGCCAAAGTTTTGTAAATATTAGATGCAATGAAGAAATGCTTAGCAAGCTTCACCTTCATTGGTTACTCTATATTTGTGGCTTTGTTAAGTTTAGTAAGGAAAGTGGGCTCCCTGTGCTGCGCCAGGAAATTTTTCTCCCCGGAATCGATCCTTCAGATCTCCAAATCAACAATTCACCCTTGCATGGAGTATTGTTGCCATATATGGTCTGGAGCCCCTTCTGTCTGACTCGGGGTTCTTGATAAGCTCCAGAGGCGGATATGCAATATAACTGGCCCTGTTCTGGCATCTCGTCTACAGTCGCTCTCTCACAGACGCGCTGTCGCCTCTCTCTGTCTTTTTTACAAATACTTTCATGGCAATTGCTCCGAGGAGCTGCATTCGCTGATTACCAGACTTGATGAATTCAAGCGCCCTACGAGGCTGGCATCCCGCTCTCACCCTTTCACTGTCGAAACTATTAAATGTAGCCATCTCTTCTACTCCAATAGCTTCATGTCTCGCACCTCTCGCCTGTGGAACTCCCTTCCCTATTCCTGTTTCCCTGAGAGCTATAATCTCCAACTATTCAAATGTAATGTCAATCGACATCTCCAGTTGCCTTGATCTATCCACTATCCTTCTCCTCATCCTTTCCTCTATCACTCCTATCTGTTGTTGCTCCAAATTTTCTGTAATCCCTGAGTCCTAGTGGCTTCCCGCCTTGCTTGGGGTAAAACGCTTAAAAAGAAAAGAAATAGCAATGGGCGGCTATTGTGAAGAGATGGTTAACAAGTTCACCCTGCAAACCAGATCAGAAATCTTATGTTTTCAATCTTCACTGAAGATCTCATTAATTTGACCTTGAAACGGGATAAGGCCTAGTTTCATAAACAGTTATTTGAAATGGCGCTCCTTACAAAGATTGGATACGTAACGCTGATTGCTAGTTTGATCTCAGACGAATAAGCATACCTAGAAAATAACTATTCAAAATTCTGGTATTCAAAACTATTTAGGGTCCATGCTGTATAGCAAATTTTCCAGGTTAATTGCACAGGCGATCGCTTGTGACTGCAGTCCTTGCTCTCTGATCTCATTCTCGAACATCAGATTTTGGCGTTTTTTTTTTCACAGTAAGGTTCAACCTGTAGAAGGCCCGGGGCCCACTCGATATAGAGAATTACATTAAGGAGTAGTTTAAATGGATAGGAGGGATAGATAACGGTTAACTCAAGGCTTCTGTATAAAGTACGAAACTATTTCAATCCCAAGGCAGGCCATCTTTTCGTTTCTCTCTCATGGAAAAGGAAAGAAAAGAAGAAAAAAAAATAGATAAATTGAAAGGTATGTAAGAGAGTGGCAGGGGTGAAGCAAAATAAATGCGGTTAGTCTTGAAACCAGAGCTACCAATACCTTTTTTTTTCTAAAACAAAAATATGGCGTCCATTAAACTTAGCCACGTGACAGTATTTTAATATGGCGCCTACTGTTTTGTTTTGATGCTGATTTATTTTTACTTTCAGAATTATACATGACAGAAGCTCGTTTTTTTTCAATGAGAAATTCTAGGTCTTATTTCCCCCCACTCTCAGTCTATATAAGAATAGTATAAAGTCTTGTTTGTAACTGTCTAACTCTCATTGACTCTGTAACTACATCAACCGTTGATAGGTTTGCTTTTATACTTAGTATATTATTTTGTTAATTTTTAAAACTATGATGACAAAGAATTTATCATTGATTAGTAAAATATTACTTGTTCGGTTTCGATAAATAAAAATAAAATATAGTCTGCTTTTATATAATCTCTTTCTCTCTGTCTCTGTCTCTGTCTCTCTCTCTCTCTCTCTCTATATATATATATATATATATATATTATTCCGATTATTGTCCTCATCGACGTATTTATTACAACGTTTTGGCCGTTGTACGCTTTGGCCTTCTTCAGGTGGTTGGAATGTCGAACTGAACCCTTTATTTCGCTTACTGGGGTAGACGGTTCTAGTTTCACGTGCCATGTTTAATGGATGTCACTTATCAGTTATCTCCTGTTAATTCTCCTTTCCAAGTCTTCCACTGCCTTAACCGGGTATTGAACTCACACTCTTTTGGGTCCTGTCACTGGATCTAACTATCGCTTTTTATTCGCTAACGTCTTTATCCAAACGTTGTAATAAATATGGCGAAAAAGATGAGGACAATAGTCCGAATAATGTAAATAATACCTAATCTCAGAAATATTGACATTATTAATGAAAGAATATCAAACACTTAAAATCCCTTAGGGAATAATTTTTATTTCATGAGAGCTCTAAAAAAGCAGCTCTCAATCTTCAACACCTACAAGATTTATACCACGAACAATGACTTTTGCTTTTGTCTTTGACGCTGATTATGAAACACGAAGAAAATGAGCCGATATTTTGGGCGAGGAAGATTTGATCCGAACAAAGATAACTTTGTAATATTTTATTCACGTCAAACATTGCAGTTGTCCTCTCCACATAAAGTCTTGTTTTTGTAGATAAGAAAAGTGTACCGTTGTAGTTTTTTTTTTAATTAATAATTTTATTCCATCTTATTTTTTTTACAGTTTTGTTCCCTCTGAGTACAACTTTTTCTTTCTTTTTACGGTGGAGGGGGGGGAGCGGACTTTCATCTTTTTTCTTTTGCATTTCGTTGCTATCATTCTTTCGTTCTTCCTTTAAATCCAATATGGTCAATCGTCAAGGCTTTCGGGAACAGGTTTTTTCATAAAGAGGACGGGACCGAAGAGTCTGAAATTTTTTTATTGCTAGAATAAACCTATTTTCCTACCTGGGGTTGGGAGTGCAATCAGATAAGAAATATGTATATGCTTATCAAGTTAAATTTACAGCCAGATTGAAGAACAAACTTCAAGACATTCTTTTTCTTTCTTTCTTTCTTGCTTTCTTTCTTTTTTTCTTTCTTTTTCTGTCGTTTTTCTTTTTTTATCTCTTTTTAACTCAGTCGTATTTTATTGATTAATTTTACTTTTTCAATTTCTTTCTTTTTTTTTCTACGCATTTCTTTCTCCCTTATTCTGAATTTTGATTTGGGTTTCTTTCTCCCCCTCTCTCTCTTTGTTTGAGTCTTTCTTTCTTTCTTTCTTTCTTTCTTTCTTTCTTTCTTTCTTTCTTTCTTTCTTTCTTTCTAATGTATCCCATATCTTGTTTTCCGTTTTTCTTCCTTTTCTTCTCATCTCATACAAATTTTCTTGTCTGTTTTCCTTCGTTCTATTTACCTTTCTTTCTTTCTTTCTTTCTTTCTTTCTTTCTTTCTTTCTTTCTTTCTTTCTTTCTTTCTTTCCTTCCTTCCTTTCTTCCTTCCGTATTCTCATTTATTCCTTTTTTCCGTCTTTTAACGCGCACTATTTTTCTGAAGTGTTCACACATATTTTTACATTCATTTTTTTTTTGCCAGACGCACTATAGAGTGACGACCATTTAATGATTTTAGAATCGAAACTAACAGCTGTTCATTACACATAGATAAAACGCATAACACTTCCACTTCTCACCATCCGTTATAAAGTCACGGCGACTCTCGTTATCGGTCGATAATAACAAAGATGGCGCTTTTGTGTCTCAATCGAAGGCGACTTGAAAGGTTACAAAGAAAGAACCCTACCATTATTTCTGTGTCACTTCGATGCTTTAACACCCGACAAGAGGGTATGGGAAATCGAATGGGGGTGGCGGTCATTAATTATTGGTAAAATCTTTCATATTGGTTACTGATAATTCTTTCAAGTTAAGGCATGAATATTCAGTCTGGCCATTAGATTTTTGCGCAAGTGAGTTTAGCTAAGTCTGGCACAAGATAACCTAGAATCGCATATTTTTTTTTGCTTTCAGAAGATTTTGGAAAGTCAGTATTTAAACTCAATACAAACGTTTCTGTTAAAGCAAGATATTTTCCTGAAATTGGATAGTTACAATTACTTATTTGCCAATGGGGGTTATTTATACTGTTTTTATTTTGTCGGAAGTAAAATATTCTTTGTGAAAGAGATACAGCCCAAGAGGTGAGTTAAAAATTGGTGACAACAAAATAAAGCAAGTACTGAAATTTAACTCTTTGGGGAGTGTTTTCACAGACGATGGAGAATGTAACATGGAAATCTGAAGATTCATTGGAACAGCGAAAGGTGACTTCCAGAAACCAAGCAAAATGCTAAGAATCAGGAATATTTTGGTAGAAACAAATGGAATATTAATCATACTCTGTGGGAGTGAATGCTGGACTATTTCCCCACGGATAAAGACTTCTGGCAACACACATGTGCTTCTCCAGAAGAATGCTAAGAATGCCATGGAATGAATATGTGAACAACGAGGAAGTTTTACGGAGAATATTAACGAAAATGACACTTTTGTTTTGGATCAGAAAGAGTCAGTTGATATTTCTGGGTCACATAATAAGGAAAGGGGGCTTGGAGAATTTAACACTCACAGGACATATTGCAGGCAAAAGGGACAGATGGAAACAGCGATTAATCTACCAACTTTGGGTAAGTAGATGACAAAACAGGGACTGGGAGGAATGGTGAATAGACTAAACATACTAAAAGCTACAAAAATCGGAAATCGTGGAGAGTCATGATCACCCAGGTTCTAAAGGGATATGACACAAGAAGAAGTTAACGAAAGTAGTCTAGTAGACAATTTTTTCTTTTAATTAAATTCTCATTTGATACCCCTATACTAGTGACTGCAATGTAATATTAGTAAATTTGTTTGCCCTACTGTGAGACACTTACAAAACTAGTTTTACAATGAATTACTAATTGTCAATTTCAGCTTACCTGGATGCCACACCCAAATAGCCCTCTCTATCAGTCATTTAAATTTAGTAAAATAAGATGCAACACGGTGGAATCTCAGAGGTTACAATTTCTACTACTACTACTACAATTAGTATGTATCGGATGTCTTTAGGGCATGTGTAATCATGGCTATCCACACCTTCCTATCCTTTGCTGGTCTTTGTAATATTTGTCTCCGTACCAACCCCACCCTGTTCCCATTCTGCCATCCATTTACGTAAGCTCATTAGATACGTTACTCACTTTATTCCTCTACCGGTCTTTTTTTATTATGTTCTGTGAGTGTCAAATACACAAAAGCCGTCTATCTCTATCTATAAAAGGCACGATGTGTATGTGTGTGTGTGTGAGTGTGTGTAACGAATGCACGGCAGCAATTTTCGACGGATTTGCGCCAAAATTTACATGCACATGCTCCAAGTTAGACGGAAGGCCAAGACCGACTTTGCATTTCCCAACTCCCATCGATAGTGGAAATAATCGATTTTTTCAAGCTTCTACGGCAGTTTTCATGTAGTTTGCGGCCATTTTCTACTGACCAGAGTGAGAGCCTATAGCTGGCTGCCACGAATAGGCAGGAAGATTCTATTGGCCAGCGTGAGAGCCAACAGCTGACTGACACGAATGTTAACTAGCATGCAAAAAAATCGATAGCTGCATTCGTCACAAGTGGGAAAAATTTAAATCTGCATGACACTTTACTCCAATTGGCTCATTCGCTTGCTTAAACTCAACGTTGAATCTGATTCCGCAGAACTGGATTGGGTGTGAAAAAGTATTTGTTGTTAACGTTCTTTTTTCATTCGGTTTTTCCAGTTACGAGTCCTTTTTTTAAAGCTGATAGTTTTGTGTTCATTTTGTTTAGTTCTTTTTTCGTAACACATTTAATATTTAGTATAGAGGTTCGAAAAAATGCGCAGTGTGAGATAGGCAAGAAGTAAGGCATGTAGCAACATCAGTATGGCAAAGGGCACTCCTTTAAAGGCAAGGAAGGGCAAAAATATTTTAAGTCAAGTGATAGCGATTGCTGATGAGTCGTACGAATCAAGCACGGGCAACGCCGGGCCATGCTGCTAGTCCTTATTATATGTGATCAAAAAAATATCAACTGACTTTTTCTGATTTTAAGTACAGAGTTTCTTTTTTATTTTTCAAGTTAGTTTCCCGTACTTGTTTTATTTTGAACTCTTCAATTTGTAGCGTCTAACTTATTGTCATGGGTGCTTACTTATAACTACAGAGTGAACTCTTCCTAACACTATGTATACTACGCCTCTCAAGAGAGAGTGTCGAACTCTCCGCCTCTGAGCAGAGAGGAACCCGGACGAGGCTCCGCCGAAGGGCAGAGTCTCGTTTGTGGAGGTTGACCAATCCGATCCTGTTTATACGGGTTATACGGGCATTTTTGGCCGAGCCTACGGGCTCGGGAAACCCACATTAAACTCGACCTTGTGCCTCATGCAACCCTCGTGGGGGTGGTGGCTAGATACCGAATCGAGTTGAGCCGATAGTAGTACACTCCAAACCAGACTGACAGTCATACTAACACCTTCCACATCTTGTATTATTATTTCTTGTAATATACCTTCGTTATTTCTACTCTTGTTTTCGTGTTGTTCTTCCTTGGTCCTAACCTGGACCATAACACTTATCTTGCTCTTTTTGTTAACAACTATAAATCTTGTGATTAACAGTTCTTAGTGCTTTACTTTTACTATCGTGTGCAGGAAGTCCTGCAATTTTCTTTTTGTGTTAGCTATCAAAATGTCGTATAGTGTATCTTACGTTGATAAGATTTGTGATCACCAAGATCAAATTCAGGGAGGACTTCTAGTTCTCTCAACATCGTCTCATTGTAAAGATTTAATAAATTCGATCCCTTTGCGCTCCTTTCGATTTTTGTATACTTCATTTTTATCCATATAAAGGCAGTTTGTTCCCAGCGCAGTGGTTTTGTGCTAGCCGAAGTTAATTTTTTTTGTAAATATGTCAAAAGGACTTGGAGAATGTAACTTTTCATCACACCCTCGTACCACATCCTCAAAAAACTTTGGCCATGCTTTGAATATTGCTGCCACATATGGTCATATAATCCTGATATATTTTTTAAAAATTCTTGATAAAATTCAAAGAAATATCCGCAACGTCTTTAGACCTAACCTGGCATTTTGGCTTCAATGATTTTCCACTGCAGTAATATAGCTCCCCTTTTCTATAAATACTTTCATGGTAATTGTTCTAATGAACTTTCCGCTATGGTATTTCATCCGCCCTTCAGTCAAATTGGACATATATGAACTCGTTAGGACTAGATAGTAATTTTGAGTTATTATGGTGGCTGTAATAAGAATGGTAAGTAAGTATGTGTTGATTTGGTGTAAGGAATACTGTAGTATGTTTGGGTCAGCAATCGGGGCTAGCTAAATTTAAAATAAGGCAGATTGAAGCCTTCCCCTAATCCCACTTTTGGTCGTTTGCCACATTTTTGTATTAAAACAAAAGAAATATTACTTTCCTCTTTGGTACATCGACTTAAATGATTTAAGCGCATTTCTAGATTGACAGCTTGATCTCATAATTTTACACTTGAAATGGCCAGATGTAACCGTGATTTTTATATTAACAGTTTCTTTTCTCGAACTTTTCGCTTCTTGCTGTACAGTTAACTTTGATCTTCAAAAATTTAAATGAATTGTCAATCGTTATCTGTTGTCTTCTTGATTCCTCCTCTTTTATTGTTCTCGCTTATATTTTTCTTATTCTTTCACACTCAATAACACCTTTTGTCTTAGTGGCTTTATTGCCTTAGTTGGGTGAAATGATTAAAAAAGAGCCAAGTATATCAGATATGAAAGGAAATTAAGGGAAACAGCGAGTTTCTGTAAAATGTATGACAGATCGGATAACAAGCGTTACTTTAAGTTACAAGTGGTGGGAAATTGGGAAGAGGCATGACCACCCATTTCCTGAAAGGGTCCGTCACATAAAATAATAATTTTAATATATTTACTAATGTGCCTTCACCAAAGAGGGTCATGGTTGTGGTGATCAAAGGTTTTGTTCCCACACCTGATTCACATATGATTGAATGAATACATTGCTTTTATGCAAAATGAGCGATCATGACTCTCCACGACTTCCTGTTTTTATTGCTATACGTAAATCCTTTTTCTTGGTCCTTTTTCTGCTGCTTATTCACACGGGCTCGTTAAGTGGACCATTCGATGTCTTCCCCACTTGTGCCTTCAGTATTTAGTGTAGATGTTAAGTTTTTCCAACCTCTCTTTCTTCATTATGTATATCAAGTATTTCAACTGTCACTATTACACGACACTAATCACGTGACCGAGTAAACAGACATTGCGAATCACGTGGCCAACATGGTTGTGGTAAGAGAACACTTCTAAAAAAAAAAAAAAAAAAAGAAGAAAAAAACGAGGAGTCAGCATTGACACTGAAAGCGGCATTCACTTTCAGGGAGGATATGTTTCGTTCTGCCTTTCGAAGCCAAAGTGCTGTAAACGCGAAACGATGTTTGAGGTGATTTAGACGATCTGAAATGAGAAAAGTTTATCTATTGTTCGATCCAGACAATCGATTTGAAAGAAATCACTTGCGTGCCGCAGGTATAGAAATGAGAAAAACATACTTGTTAGTGGACACACACACGCACACACACAAAACACACACACACAAAAACACACACACACACACAAAATACACACGCTCACACACACACACAAAACACACACACACACACACACACACAAAACACACACACACACACAAAACACACACACACACACACATATATATATAAGTGAGAAAATCATCCTAGTTCGTGTAAACACACACACACATCTATCTATCTATCTATCTATCTATCTATCTATCTATGAGAAAATCATCCCTGTTCGTGGACACACACATATATAAATGAGAAAATCATCCTTTTTCGTGGAAAGGCACACAAACTCACACTCACACGCAGACACACAGACATACGGACACAAACACACACATATATGTATATATATAAATGAGAAAATCATCCTTGTTCGTGGACACACACGCACACGCACACACACACACACAAACTCTGAGTCGGGATGCTGAAGGTAACAAACCTTTACTCACATTAATCCTATATATATATATATATATATATATATATATATATATATATATATATATATTTTGTGTGTGTGTGTGTGTGTAAAATGAGAAAATCAACCTTGTTCGTATATACAGACACGTGGTTAGCTGCTGTGCATGTGACCTTGTGCCAGACTAAGGTATATAAATACGTGAAGATAAACGACTTTTATTTATCTATATGCGAGTGTGTATATATGTGTGTCCATGAACAAGGATAATAATTGAACGGCTTCTTTTTCTCCATTTCATGCACCAAATCGGCATCTCTCTTTCCATTCTACGCCCGAAAATGCCAAGAAAGTTTATATTTGATAAAAAGGTAAATAAAAAGATATCTGGCCTTTTCAAGCAGCTTACGTATATTAAATTGGTTCTTGTCCAAGAAAATGTATTTTTTTTTCTATGTGAATAATTTTGTTACTTTAGTAGGCCTAAACCCCTTGAGTATTTTATGCTAGATGTCACGGCGCCCTATCTCCCACAGAAAAGAGTTCTTTGTGTTCAGGAAGTCATCACTAAAGAAACCTTGTGTCTTATTCGACCAAGACGATCCGACGCAAAACAGCTCGTCCAATATTCAATCTCCTTTTCTATCTCGTTCCAACTGTCTAAGTAGGAATCGGAGCTATCCATCACAGAACAGTGTGAAGTATTGTATTTTTCGACCCCTAACCACTAGACGTGAACTGGGCGTTTCATTATCCGTCGTCATCGCAGTCTCTGAATATCATTGATTTTTACGCACTCGTGAATCAGAAACTCATACAACGTCTCATGTAGCTGCAAAGTCCAATGAATGAGAGGCAGACACGGTTGCATTTACGGTCCTGTCCAAATGATGTCGATAATGTGATTGTGCTCTCTCGCTGTTTGTACTTCCTCTTTCTTCTGTTAGTATCGCTGTGATGAGCCAAGGTGGTCTCATATATCAACAGCCCACTGAGGATTGAGTGTTGCCATTGAATACGATGTCGAACGGTGTTTTCCCAGCTGGCATGGTTGATATTAAACGATATGAGGTCTTGTTTACAAACGTCCCTAAATCGTAATTGTGGGCGGTCAATTTTTCTCCTTCCGTTTGAAAGTTCTTCATAAAGAATGCTCTTCAGAATTCTTCCATCGTTTATCCTCCGGACATGGTACAACCAGCAGAGACGTCGCTACTTCAGAAGAGAATACATGCCGGGAAGCTGGGATCTCTAAGGGATTTATTTTATTGCTCTAGTCTAGCAGATTATTACTATTCGAGTTTGTTTGTGATTAGCTGTGCGGTGGCGGTGGCCTTGTGCCAGGCTAAGGTAAATAAATCCGAAAAGATAATCGACCTTTAATGCTGCAGGAATGGAAGTATTGGGTAGAATTAAACAAATATTTTCTGTCTGAATCGACCATAAATGCAAATACATAGAAAACATCATAATGTGTTATCTGAATTTTTGGGATGAGGAGTTATCAATATTGACATTATTTATATGTGGACTATTTTTCTCATCGTTGTTGTTATTATGACGTCTTTCTACCCTCCTAGGAACACTGGAGAGCCAGACATCTAAAAAAATTAGAGCATTTGCTAGGTTATAAGGATCTCCGCAGTAGGCCTAGCATAGAAATAAATACGATATGGGATCCGTTAATAAAGAAAGAATAACAAATGAGAGCAACAACAACAGCCACAATAGAAAAGCGAAGCATCACTGAATGCAGTTAAACGTGAAAAGTATCAACAGCACTCATTAGCATCAGGTTAGGTTTAAAACTGCCAGTTCTCCCCTCTGGATTGTCCCACAGAACAATAGCCTAGTGGATAAAATCATTAATTCGTGAATTTAATGATATATGGGGTGGGGAGTGTGCACGTGGACCCAGTGGAAACAGGGGGAGCAATTATAGAGGTGTACTAAATAAGAACTGGAGTGATAGAAATGGTCAGTGGAACGAAAACAATTTACTTTGTAGGTTAATTACAAGACGCTGATGAAGACCAGAGGGCACAGCACCCGAAACGTTGTGATAAAAACAACGAAGATGAAGATAATAGTCCGCATATAAATAATGTAAATGAATAAATCTTATTTTCTGTTATCAGACGCTAACTAGATACAATTTGACCGCAAGCGCGTTTCCTCTGCAAAGGGACTGCATTGTAAGTAAAAGAGACTCGGAATTGTTCGTACGTAGGAGATTATTTTACTCTGATGGAGATGACTGATTTGATTTGTTTTTTTTTTACGCTTTATCAACCTGGAGAGTACAACGGCTGAAACATTTTGATAACAACAACAACAAAGTTAAGGACAATAAATAATCTAAAAAAAAGTTAACCCCATTAACATCTCCGAGCAGTCTTCGAAACTTGCACTTCTTAATGAATTCTTTAGTTCTTCCAGACGCGTGATTCTACCTCTGGTTATAAATATCTTCACTCAAGCAAGATGCTCCAGACTCAAGGAGGTTCGACTGTTTTAATTCTTGGACAGCTACCGCATTTAGTAACCCCATACATTGAGTTGCTCTTGGGTCATATTCGTTGAAAATAGTAAAAAAAAATATTTACGAAATTTACGATTATGGGAAGGGACTCAAGTGAAATTCAATCTCGCATTACTCGTACTCAAACTAATTTTCTTATCTATGTTCCACATCAATATTTTAAAACTAGTTTATTCTGACACAAGCTTGTTCAATTTTGTTCAACAGCTCGACTCAAGTTTACCTTAACGGTGGGGCCTAGAATGCGAAGATTGCATTTCGGGCAAAAGGATAACCTCCATTAAAAAAGAATCCACCTACTGTGAGTAATCACAGACTCGGAATTAAATAACTAATATTTACCTCCAGAATACGAGGAATATTTACCCCCCAGATCCAAGTAAAAAATGACCAATATTTACCTCCAGACCGAAGTATAAAACGATCAATATTTACCTTCAGCCTGAAGTATAAAACGACCAGTATTTAACTCCATGCCGAAGTATAAAACGAACAATATTTACCTAAAAATTAATGTGTAAAACGATCAATATTTAACTTTAGACTCAAGTATAAATTTACCTACAGACTAAAGCATGAAACAACCAATATTTACCTCCAGACCCAAGTATAAAACGATCATTATTAACATACAAACTAATGTATAAAACGATCAATATTTACCCCCAGACCCAAGTATAAAATGATAAAAAATTAACTCTAGACTTAATTATAACACGGTCAATATTTACTTCTATGATCGCCAACCCCTCTTCGGGGCGTTAGGGATCATAGCTCTCTTAATAAATGTTTTCTTTTTGTTATGTCTCCTAAAGTTTGCTCAATCATCCATTTACTCAAGCCTTCTAGGTAGGGTCTGACTTGTTTTCCTATAATCTACCTAGCGAACTTGAGTACAGATCCAAATAATAAAAAGACAAATATTTACCCATAGTCTCAAGTATAAAACGACCAATATTTACCAGTGTGCACAAGTATAAAATGACAAAATGTTTAACTATCAACCCAACTAAAAACGATCAATATGTGCTCATAGTCTCAAGTATAAAACATCCAATATTTACCTGTGTTCTCAAGTATAAAATCAGCAACATTTACCTATAGACCCAAGTAAAAAATCAATATTAACCTATAGACTCAAGTATAAAACAGCTAATATTTACCTTTCGTCTCAAATATAAGAAAAGACAGATTTTTTCATTAAATAACCAAACATATGTTGATATGTCGTAAAATAAACCAACCCCTCTTAGTATGGCACAAGGCCATAATAACGAGGCACTCAGGGTGGATGGGAGCCACAATGGATATTTTGCTACGTTATCTTGCTAACTACTGCTCCATGGCGTGATACTACTACATTTTCATTCTTGAGGTAACGCAACAAAACTCATTGGGATCTCCAGCAGTTTACAAACATTTAGTATATTTTTAAATATTTTTGCAAGACAAAAAATTCAGTTTTATAAATGAATGAATAAAATTCAGATGAAAGTGTAACTTTTATTTGTAATCAGCAAGGTCTGATTCAGAACATGAGAAAACAGTGGCAAAACCAAAGAGACAAAATCTTACGGTGGGCCGGAAGTGGCTCACGGGTCGTTGTCCTATCATCTCTGTCATAAACTAAGTAAATATAAATAAATGATTAATTAATATTCTAGCAACCGTTTAATGTTAACGATTGAATAGAAGTATCAAGAATTAAACTCTTTAGTCAAAGGTTTCGTCATCGGCTTCATCTCATATCCAATAATTGAATTCCTTCTTCATTGATCGCTTCCTTTATGACGATGGCGTTAATGACTAAATTCGCCGCCAACGAACAGGTTCAGGACTAGAATCTTCCAGTTTCATCAAAAGTTGCCTCGTCACTCATTCCCGGAGTTTGGCTCTGCAAGAGTTGGTAGGATGTGAAACAAAATCAGGGTAAAATAAAGTGCCGATGCCGTGAATTTGTTTAAGGTAGACCTCAACTTGCCAGGAAGTGACCCTACACATTTGATTTCATAACCTTCCTCTGCGGCACATATGGAATGAGACATGCAGAATCAAGTTGTGAAACTGCACCGCACTGTAGATGATTCTGTTATAATTTCGAGTGGTGCCTTCTATAGCATGTCCGTTATGCGTAGTCCTCTTCATCCGCTGGTTATTCCGTTGAGATCTGTTGTAATCGTTATCCACCTTTGGGGTATTTTGGGTTGGACGCAAGCACCTCCACCCCGACAATGATCGACCATCAGTAGTACGCATGTCAAAGGTTTAAACTATACTTAATTAAAGAAAGTGAAGCAGTAATTCCCCCATAAAGAAAATATCACCTCGGAAAGTCTTTTCAGCAAGTCAGTTGCAAGGTGTGACAGATTGACTTTATTTTGATCTATTAACTTCTTTATAGAAGTTGTCATCGTTGTTTCTTTCTATATTCACGTTTTCGTTTTCTGAGAGTTCGGTTTTCGTGGTTTTACGGTTATTCGATGTCAGACCCGTAAAGAAAATGGATTCATATATTTTATTTAGTAATAAAGATCACAACGAGCAAGCATAATGATACTAGTAAAGAAAGAAACCTCAAAAGGCTTTCTTTAAGTGAGAAGGTGGGAGTCTTCGGCTTAATAAGTAAGGAAAAACCTATGCTGATGTTACTAAGATTACAGCATATTACTATGACTGCTTTATAATCAGTGAGTGTTATTAACACTTGAATAGCGGCCATCATTAATTGCTATTTCATTGGAGGACCACTGATGTCGTCAATTGGTGGTTTTAAACTTTTTTTGCAATTATATGGACATCATTTATTTAGGATTCATGACTAATTGGCAAATCTAGAATTCTGGAGGTTACTATTTACTGAGCTTACGTCATTTTCTGGAATATTTGGTTTATTGATGCTAACCTCCACGTGATGACTCAATGTCCTTCTCGGGCTTACGTTTTCAGATGACATAAAGGGGAAAGACTATATTGAACCAAATGCCATGTTTGTAGGTAAAAATGTTGCTTCACTATGTTATGCTAGACAATTTTTTATCACCAGAATCTATCTTATGTATTTATAATTCTACCATTCATCCTTGCTTTGTATATTGCTGCCACATCTGGTCTGGTGCTCCTGCTATATATTTAGGGATTCTTGATCAAATCCAAAGAAGGAACTGCATTATTATTGGTCCTGACCTAGCATCTCGTCATTAGTCTCTTTCCAACCACTATAACGTAGCTTTTAAATATTGTTACG